GTTGTCCCCCTTTTGGCTTTTTTTTTTTTTTTTTTAAAGACAGGGTCCTACTATCTCCCCGTCATCCTCCCCGTATCATTAGGACCACATGAGCATACCACTGGCCTATCCCCCAGGCCTGACCAGGAAGCAAACTCAGGCCTCCCATGTAGACTCAGACCCAAAGCGCAGCACCCTAGCGTGTACCACTTCTGATTTTTTTAAATATTATTTTTCTTGTGCTTGGAATAATATTCTGTTTTTATTCAAATCTTATCATCCTTCAAAGCACAACATATGACATCCTCTCTGAGGCCTTTGTGAACTGCCCCAGTATTCATTGACCAAGTCTGTCCTTGTGTACAGTGGTTCATACCTGCCTATTCACTTGTATTTAACAAATGCCAACTTCTATCAATTATCTTTTTTTTTTTTTTTTTTTTTGATATAGGGTGCTGCACTTGCCAGAGACAGAGACACAAGGAAAGCAAGAAAGCACTCTTTGGGGGAGTGGTCACACTGTAATTCCCTCTCCTCCATTCTCCTCTCAAGAGTCTGGGCACTCAAACATACAGCCCTGGTGTGTTTTGCAAGCTGCTGGGTCTGGAGCCTGAACAGTGCAGTCGGTCATGTGAGATCCAGCTGCCCCAACTAGCATGCCATCAGCTGGTCTATCACTTACCTTTTTTTTTCTTTTTTGAGAGGTTTTGCTATAGGGCGCATGTGTTTGCCAGAGACAGAGACAGAGAGACAGAAAGCAAGAAATCACCCCCCAGGGGGGATGGCCATGCTGCAATCCCTTCTCCATTCTCCTCTTGGGATCTTGGCATGCAGGCACACGTGTCCAGCGTGAGTTTTAAGCCACCGGGCCCGGGACGCAAACCGTGGTTGACTACATGGGAGTCCAGCAACATAGCCATTACGCTAACTGCTGGTCCCATCACTTACCTTTTCATGCTAATATTTTCTCCATCACGCAGTTTTCTTTTATTTCATTATTTATTAAATCCAGTGTCAAGCACAAGGTCTCACAACCGGAAACCTCACTTGATTTGATAAAGATATTTTTTAAAAGCCACATTAAATCCCCAAAGTCAGTAATGTTGGTAATTAAATTAATTAGGGAACTAATATGTTTAAGAAGTTTTCTTTCTAGTAGATTCAGGAGTGGGAGAAGGGAGATATACACTTTTATTTAAATAAATTCCTTGTTCACAGGATACTATTTTTTCTAGCTATGGAATTAGCTGTTCTTTGTAATGATGGTGCTTTTGGGAATGAGCTAACTCTTGATGTGCCTGTTCATTTCTGGGACTTGCATCAAAAACACTTGCCACACCTATGTGGGCAAGTAGGTGAGTCTTAAAACTGAGTGCATAGTGTACTCGTGAGGTTCAGGACACCCCTGAAAATGACTGTCTAAACCAGAAAAATGCCACCCCAAAATACACTTCTGAGGCATGTTTAGAGAAGCTGGTTATTCTGAGAAACCGCTGACACAGTAGCCGCAAAAAGATATCCTTTTGCAAAATAAATTCCCATCTGTAAGTACTATAGCTGCATCAGGAGGAGCTGTGGTAACTTACTGAGAGGCTTTATCTGCAGAACAAGACTTGTATTCATACACCGTCTCCTCTCACCCTCCCATAACCTGTGTTCACCACCCCTTAAGCCTCCCAGAATCTCCAAACCCCTTTTATTTTGTCGTTTAGGGTTCTACGTATACTTCAACCATCTGCATGTGGCAATGAAATACTCTTTCCTCCTATGAATCTATTTTCTGCCTTTTTAATTTGCAGACCGCCAGAGAACCGAGAGCGGTGGTGGGAAGCCATTTCTCGGTTCCCTACAACACAAGTATCTGTTTCTATTGGTAATACGTACATAGATTATAAGCAAACCCAAACATTCTAAAATCACAAAGGAAAGGTAACCGCTTGCTCTCTTTCACCCTCCACCCCAAGGGTGACCACCGTCTTATTTATCCAACTGGAACATCTACAGGCACCGGTGGATAAGCCTATGTTATGTGCTCTTTCTAGTCTTAAAATTAAGTCCTGGGAGAAATCATTTGTATACTACTCTAGCGGCAGTCAGAGCGGGCTTAATATATCACACAGCTGCGAGTTTTGGTTTCTCTTTGATAGCAGCGGCGCCGGCCTGCAGTTTCCCTCGCGGTCTGGGGGCGTCAACACATGGAATACAAAAATAGCACAACGGCTAGAGGAGTCTCGCAGGAGTCCGGCGCCCAGTTAGGCCGGCGGCGCGCAGCGACGACCCCGCAGCAGAGGAGCTCCACCCGAGCCG